AAAAAGGTAGAGACGGGACACGACGAAATTACTCACACTTGGTCTTCGTACTTTATTTTCACGATAAAATACCGCAATATCTAGATTTTTTGTTTAAATTTGCGCGCTTCTTCACAGCCTTCCATTTCAAAATCCCCCTTCGAGCCAGCAGGCTTCCGCGCGCCACTCACAAGTAGTGCATTCCCTGAACGTGTCCGGCTCCTCCTCCTTCGTCCACGCAGCACAGCAAGCTCGATGAGCACAAACTGTCCTGTCAATCTTTCTGCAACGGTCTCTCTTTGTCTGACGAATGCTACATGGCGGATAAATGTTAGCACGCACAACAGAGTACACAATCATCGATTGAGGCGTGGCGTGTACGAAAACTACCCGGCGACTCGGCGTGTGACGGAACCTAGCGTGCGGGACTTCGTCGACGAGCTTGTCAAAGCGGGAGCCAAGCCCAAAAAATTCTTAAGTATCTACAAGATACGACAGGTACGGATGATGAGTTGCCATCCTCTGAGTTGCTGTCTGTGCTAAAGCAAGCGTCTCAACTGGTTACTGTACAGGAAAACGAGTAACATTGCGGGATATCCACAATTTGGTGCAGCAGTTGAAGGCAAAACGCCGCGGCGTCGGAACTGTTGAAGACAGACTGGAATCCGTGCTTCGGAAGTTTTGCTCTGTTCGTGGAAATTCTGCGACCATATTCGTTGATGAGACAAAGACAACGCAGACAATCACTAGGCAGACTCATCAAATGGGACGCTTCTTCGAAGCTTTTCCGGAAGTAGTGATGGTGGCCTCGACCAACGGGACCAATGCTGCCAAGTACAAGCTGTTTAGCTTCATGATCGATGATGCGTTCGGCCACGGAAGTACTGCAGTTTGTGGTGAATTAGTAACCTAACCAAACTGTTAGTGATCCGTTGGTGTAATTGGTGACTAGTTGGTGACTAGTTGGTGATCATACTAATTGATCGATTATTATGTGTTTTGACGGCTCTTGTTTTGTGCTTCTTCCTTGCTAGGGTCAATATGTTCAACATGCATTGGTCGAAAACGAAAGCCACGCGTGTATGAAGGATGCAATCACGGCTTTCAAGGAAAATAACCCTTCCTGGGATCGGATCCGCGCTTTCATGGTCGCCAAAGACTTCGGAGAAATCAGTGTTTTGCAACGGGAGAGTCCATTAGCGCGTGTATTGATTTGTCACTTTCATCTGAAGAAATATCTGCGTACGGAGATGTCGAAGGCTATCTACGGTGGTCTCCATGGCGTCGACGTGGATCGCGTTGAAGACTCGCTCGATATGACGGTGAAGGCTCGGAATAAAGAGGAGTATGATCGCGGCTTCAGGTACGTGTACTATGTATTGGACGGAATCGATGAACAGGGCGAGCTACCGGAGCCAAAACACCCCCTTCTTGATTATTTCGTTCGAAACTGGCACTCCTGCAAGGAAATGTGGTCTGTGTACGGGCGGGGCCATGTCGCCCACCTCGGGAATCACACCAACAACAGGTATGTACTTTCTTATGTGAATATGACTCTATTCGCCTAATCATATCACTCGTCAGCATGGTGTAGGCTTTAGTCAGCGTGGGGAGCGCTGAAAGATATTTTGAAGCCGGAAATGGAGCTTGATGAATGTGTGGAAACACTGCATTTTATGCAGTCGACGGCTGAATTGGAGTACGCATCTCGATTTAATGTTCTAGGCTCACGGAATTATCACGGCGCAGATGAGATGCTACTTCGATTGGCAGCATTGATGAGCCCGCATGCATTTGAGCTGGTCCGAAAGGAATACGAATCGTATAAGAATGGTTCTTTGTCCTACGAGGTGGTTGCAAATTTCTATCGTCCGTCTGAAGACGCACATAAC